TTGCAGCGCGGCCTCTGGATTTTTTGGCGATGTTGCGTCCCAGCGAACAGGCATAGTATGTTTATAGAGTTCAATATCTAGTAAAAAAAAAGTACACTCACTGCGATGGGTCTGGTGTCAAACGATGCCTTGCAACACGAGGAATCCCAGGTCACCAAATGTGAGCAGTGTCCGGGCAAGGTTTACACAGAAAATAGCAACAAGAGCAGGAGCCCATGTGAGGTGCGACTACACACTTCGGCCCCCTGGCGGCTTTATCCCTGGATAGTGATTGTAAAATATAAAGAATTGTTTCACAGCTTTTTCAATACATAGTCAATATATGGGATGCCCCATGAAAACAAAATGCCTTAAACCAGTCAGGCCTGTGTAGCTTACAAAAATATTATAATAAGAATGGTTGGTTACTGGGCTAGCTGGTTCATTTCAACACATGTAACAGTGCACAAAGCCGGAAAGAATGTCAGAGACTTGGACAGAGATTTTTACACCCTGTCTCTGTTATCATTTTCAGCCTTCTGCATTGTTTACAGGAGTTGTTACTTGATAAGAACATTTTTAGAAAAATGTGGGGAGAGGCAGTCATGGGCCGCATGCGGCCCGTGCGCTGCATGTTTGTGACCCCTGAACTACACGCAGTGTGTAATGCAGCATTACGACATGCTACTATTGTCTCTCTGCAGAAATTGTCCACACGCATATAAACTCCTGCTCTTGTGATGCTCAATGACAGTGCAGACTTCATCATCATTCTGCTGTGCTGATGATTCACTCATAGTTACACAACGCAAGTATTTCAAAATTTGTAAGTATTTTGTAAGAAAATTGCAAATATTTTACCATTTGAATGATGACATAAACGGGGTCTTAGCATAGTCTATACTTTGTTTCAGGAGTTCCTTTCAGCACTGTGGAGGCTATAGGCGATTAGCCCCTCTACATGTGTTCATCTGCTTCGTGTCGTCTGCCCACTGTCTTCGCGGCGTTTGCTCGCTGAATTGTCTTTGCACGCTCATTGCATGTAACATGGGTGGTTTACTAACTTTAAAATAAGTAAAACTGTCAAATAAGCCATTGCGCTTCAACTTCAGGAAGTTTGGCGTCTTAACAATATTATTTTGTGGCTCTAAAGAAGATCAGTAGACGCTCATGCCGGCGGATAACTTCACTTTGTGACTCTCCGACGCTTTTCGTGGCTCAGGCATCACTGCTTCTCTGTTAATGCATTCCTTCCAGTCTCTCACTGCAATGGTTCTTTTCTATCTTTTTTGTTTCACCAAAGGAGCATCCAATGCGCGCGGAACGCTGTGCAAGATTGCATGTCCGATATTTGGAGATGCAGCATTCTTGGTCAGACGACGCAGTCCGAACACTGCCTCAGCGCATTAGGCTTATCAGATACGGCTACACAAGCAGCATATCTCGCTAACGACAAAACGTACCTAATGCTTCATCCTCGGAGTAAGATGAAACGAATTGGTAGCTGATTTCACCATTTGTTTGTTGCTGCCAGCGCTGTAGGCATTTAGCAGGAGCAAGTTCGGATCGAAGCATCTGCATGGGTGCTGCTGCTATGTTGATTTGTAACCATAGTTATCGTCGGTAACCGAAACAAATAAGTGTGTAGGAAATACCCGCAATGAAGAAAACATACCACGTATCGATGTGGCGTAACAAACACCAACTTTAGACAACCCTGCCAATATCAAGGCACTTATATCTCCAGGACTACGTTTCACTGCGCAAGCGTGTGGTTTTTTTTACCCCCCCCCCCCCCCGCCCTGTAGCTTTGGTAGTGCTGAACCAAAGTGGTGAAACAGAGTGTAAAGGCCTGTGTATTACGTGATGTCAGTGTAGTTTAAAAAATGCCAGGTGGTCTAAATTTTCAGAGCCCTCCACTATGGCATCTCTATTAATCGTATCGCAATTTAAGTCATAAAACCCCAGATCTTATTAGCATCGTCTGAAGCATATGTCTTGATCTAGTCTCCTGTGTCCATTTTTGTGCAGCTGTTCTGCAACAAAAAACATTTCTTTATGCAGTGCAATAAAGAAAAAAGTTATGCCAAGTTTCACTCCTAGAAAAAAGATTTATTAGGAAAGTAAGCCCAAGATATTTTTTCGGTTATATTATTTTTATAAGGTTATTTGCACGTATTGATCGCAGGTGTGAAATAACATTTTCAGAGTTCTTAAGTGGGATTAAATGGCAAAGCATTGCAGGTATTCCGCACAAACATTCATTGCCTAATTGAGATGTTCACCACGATCAAGGTGCGTCAACATTTGGCAGTACATCTAAAAAAATAGCTATAAGCTAATATCAAAGCATCACTATTGCATAAACAAAATTCATGCCACCATTACAGACATACAGTTGCAAATTCCATTAAAGGTCCTTGTAAGTAATGCCATAATTGAACAGTGACCATAAAGTTAATTTCATATGTATTGAAAAATGCAGCTTGGTCACTTTAATTTTTTCTATAGAGTTACTAGTGCTCATTAAAACTACATGACAAGTGCTTTATGTAGAAGTGTGGCATGTTTTCCTCCTGCCTCCAACAAAATGAAGGGGTGGTGCCCAACAAAGCATAAGAGAATAGCACACCTATATAAAGTACCTTGTTCATTATAGAGGAGTTGGATTTCAAGGATTGTGCAGTTCTTTCAACCACAATTTTTGTTGCTGCTAAGTCCATATCACATATATCAATGAAATTTTGTTCGTCTTACTGTGCAAAACTGAAAACAGGCCTATGTGAACTGCCACTGCTATGCTTTTTATGCAAGCAATGTAGTTTCTGCATTCAAAAGCCCCAGCTGGCCCTGCACCTCACAAGCCAATACTAGACGAGTGTTGTGCTCATGTGAACTAGATTGCATGGTGCTGTAAACAGCTATTCATTTTAACAGTACATCCTGGTGCTCTCTGTATTCTGCTACTTGTCTTGAAAGATTCATGACTGGTTAATTTTTCTTTTTTAGCCCTTCCTACTGGCAGCACAGACCTTGTGTTGGTGCTAAATCGAAATGCGAAGGGCGAAAAAAAAACAGGAAAATTCTAGAAAGACGCTGGTTTTCTTTTCATTTTTTTTTGGCACAGTTGGAAAAGTTGGCCATAATTTTCGTGGTGCAAAACATACAGAAATAAGGCTTAGGTAACTTAGAAAACCAAAACATCGCATGTGATACCAAAGCACCAAATTAAGGCTGACCAATCACTATCGACATCTCATAAAATCAGCTTCGTTTTTGGGGTGTGATGTTGTTGGGGGCAGTTTATGATGTTTTCGTAGCCGTTATTGTTGAGTTTTGACTTTCCCTCATTCACTTCTGCGAGCTGTAGTGAAAATCCGCTTATAAAGCCATGTGCATGCACTTCATGATTGGGGAGACCATTGGCGAGAAACGTGGACTCACTGTCTAAGCACTGCAACTGAAGTTACGCTTCAGTTGCAGTGCTATGTGACATCTTAACATGATGAAGAAAGCTATAGATAAAGCCATGGAGACAGACTCTGAATAAGAGTTTGAACTCCATCTTTTTTACCATTTTGATCAATGTTTCCACAGTCGAAGCCATGACAAAATAGGCATTTCTGGGTTATTTACTATAACTGCCGTAATAATTCTAGAAGGCCACACTCATTCAGAGAGAGCTAAATCAGTTTGTGGTAATGCTTCTGGCCTGCCTTCAATTTGTTAAATGCTGTATTCATTTGTGAAAAAAAAAAGAAATCATTTTATTTCTGTTATTTACATAATAAATGTTAGTGCTTTTAACACTTGGTAGAACCTATAACCATATGGCAATAAACTATTATCATATGCTAAATAAAATTTGTTATTTTTCAATTTTTCCTAAATTTTGATGAAAAAAAAACGTAAACGAAAAGTTTTTTCTAATTGCTTAAAATTTCTGGAAATTTTGCATCTCTAGTGCTAGGTAGCAGTGCGTGAGGTGGAATAGAAACCCTGCACACACCATCCCATGTCACTTGACTGCCTGTTTATAAGCAAATGTATCAAGGGGGCAGGTCAAATCAACATAACACATAACATTTGTGGTGTTTCTTTTTTTTGTGCCTTTTTTTTCTTTTACAGTGAAGCTGTTTAAGCTGATCGTGAGTCTCCGCAAAGCAAATAGAAAGCTATCATCATCATGCCCGCCGTGGTGGTCTAGTGGCTAAGGTACTAGGCTGCTGACCTGCAGGTAGCGGGATCGAATCCCGGCTGCTGCGGCTGCATTTTCGCTCCATCGAAAATGCTGTAGGCCGGTGTGCTCAGATTTGGGTGCATGGTAAAGAACCCCAGGTGGCCGAAATTTCCGTAGCCCTTCACTATGGCGTCTCTCATAATCATATATGGTGGTCCTAGGACGTTAAACCCCACATATCAATCAAGCATCACTATCATCAGCATGAACCAGCAGGTTCATCTTCTACTTCCTACTTCACTCCCAGAACACATGTGGCGATTCGTCTGGCATAAGGTGCAATAACTCTGTTGGGTGAGAACGAGTACAGAGACTGAAAGGAAAGGAACACAAAAAAAGATAAAGACATAGAAGGAAGACAACACAGGAAAGACAGAAAAGAAGAGCAAGAGAGAACCAAAGAAAGATAAAGAAAAAGGAAGTGAGAAATGGTGAGAGAAAAAATGAATAAATATAAACAGACAGAAAAAAAAACAGCAAGTAGGAACTCCGGGCATGTTGGTATTCCATGTTTCTGAATGGTAAGATTGCACTGAAGGCAAACACACACTGAAGGCACTGCCACCAAGGGTATGTGCGTGCCTTCATTGTGTATTCATCTTCAATGCCCTCTTACCGTTCAGAAAAAAGAGGAAGTAAAAGAAAGAGAGAAACAAGGTGTGCCACCCAGCTTTGCACTTCTTTCAGACTTAGCACCACTAGAACGAAGGTGCATTAATTGTTTTGTTGTTTTTGACCCAAACAAGACGGTAATCTCTGCGTTTTTCAAAAAACAAAGCAGTTTAGAGGTCAAATTCATTTGCAATTTGCACTCCATTATCATCAGTGCTCTAACAGACGGCACACTTGCAGTCACCAAGCAGGACATCTGTGGCACACATACGAAAGCCTTGTGACCAAGTGGTCTCACTGTCTCCCTGTGTAGCACTGAACAGGACCTGCACAATTTTCTAACTTCTTGAGCACTTCTGCAAAGTAGTTTGCACTAGGGTAGGCAAAAAGTTAACAGACCTGGTATGAATGAATATGAAGCAAATAGATAACAGCTGGAGCACTAAGCTTAACTTGGTCACAAAATGCCCAAATGTTATCACAAAATTCGTATACTAAGTGACATTAAAACATGCAAAAATACAAACTATGCAGTGTGCTAGTCAACTTTAAAATTTCTTCTATCCTTCTAAATTTAATTGATGAGAACATCAGGACACTACAATGTGCCATCTCTATTGATGGCTCCTTGCATCACTGGAGGCCATTGAAAAACTTGTGAATACTTGCTGCGGATGCTTGGCCAACAACTTTTGTAAGCTCTTCTGTACTGCACAAAGCTATTCCCTGAAGGCCTAGTGGGAAAAAAGGAAGAAAAAAGAAAGGGTCAACGACCTTGCATAATAAAGCTAGTAAAGAAAAGTTGTCTGTTTTGTTGGAACACAGAATAAATTGGTAAAATGTTTTGTGTAGAACTGTCCTGACCCCGTGTTACTCAAGAAAAGAAGGGTAAAAAAATAAAGAATAAATAAATGTTGGCTAACACGTACATATCAAATTAAGTGGAATGGACCAAAAGGCACGTGTCTTTGTTATACACAACTTAATCTGTCTAACAACGAAATGAGGCTGGTTAGTTTTATTAGGTTATGTATACGCACTGTGATACTTCTGGAGCAAGGTCTTGGCTTTGACTTCACCTAAGCCTGGCACACGTAACAGGCAGGTGGTAAGGGCTGAACTCATGGGAGCCAATCGCCGGGGTACTAAAAATGGGTTTGGCTTTTCTCCACTCTCCACAGCCTCCTAGAAGCAAATAGACAAAATTGTAAATCGTTATCAGAGACATACAAACTACTACCACAAGACACCATAGAGTGCTACTATGTGACCGTATACAAATTTGGGACATAACTACCTTATATGAATGGTTTTGGCTGTCATGCCAAGCTTTTAGTCTGGCGTGCTCTTGAGATAATGCAGCACTACCCTCTGTTTACCACTCATTGATGAGGCCATAGTATTGACAATATCATTCGCCACAAGATGCTACGGGGGGCCATTTTGTAACGAGATACATATCCACTTTTGCATTGTCTGCAGGCACTGCTTATGTCAAAAGAAGTCCACCCAGTAGTAATTTTGTTTACTCTTCCATAAAATTCAACGATAAATGTGGAAGGGGCTTGGTGCAGGCATAATATCTTGCTCAGAAATTCATAAGTAATAATTACGCATGTCTGCATAACACATTAAAACCGTCACATAGCTATTCTGATGGAACATACTGCACACATGAAGCCCAACACAAAACTTCTACTTCTACGACATAACTGCAAGGAATGTAAGGTGGCATGAAATGCAATATTGTCTGTTTATTTTTTTTTGTTTTTTTGGAAAACTTGTTTTTAAAAGGGTCCAGCAAAACTTTTTGAATATATTCAGAAAGTACTAAGGTAGCTCAAGCTCCTGTGAACATGTTAACTGAATATATCACTGCACATGGCAGGGAATTTACAATTACATTACAGAGCCAGCACATCCCGCTCTTCTCTCAGAAAATCACGTCGACAGGACAGGCTACGTCAACAAAGGAAAGAATATGGACATTGGCCGATTTGAGCATTCTTAGCCAGGCCACCCTAAGGTGCCACAGCACCATGCTCTATACTGTGCTAGAATTACACTGTAGCGACACCAGCACACTTGTGATTGACTGAAAGTGAGCAAATGCCGAAAGGGGGGAGAAGAGAAAAGAAGAAGAGAGAGCTCAAGGTAATGAAACTTGCTCACAGAGCTTCTTGCCCCTTTTTCATCCCTTCCTGTGTAGCTTCCAGTGCACTCATCAGCACAGAAAGAGAAAAAAAAAAGCGTGAAAAAAAAAGTGTGAAAAATCCTTTGACTTCTCTCGAATTCCTATGCAAAAATTTTTGCAGTAAACGATTTGCGAGGCAACAAACTCCAGCTACTAAGGTAATTCGATTATTTGCAAGTGCTGCACGGGGCAGGCACCTTTATTTTAGTGTATTTCTTGTTCCCAAAATACAGCTTGTGTGTATAAAAAGTTACATGAGCATGTTTGAATGTGCTGATTACAGGTATACAAAAATAAGCAAAGGTGCACAACAGCATTCTTTATTGTTATTTCCGATACTGCTGCTCTCCATCTGAAAGTGTAACAGGCGGAAAATACAAAAAGTAATTGCAATATGTAAAAAAATTCCAGGAACAATCAAATATCTAAGAAATCTAGGAAAAGAGGTTACAATAAATATAATACAATAACAAATAGTGTTTACTGAATATATATACAATGAACTTGCATACATTTATCACACAATTCATATAGGACTGTGTAATGTTGAGCATTCTTTATGAAATAAAACTGCAATGTCACATCCCATAAAAAATATTCATTAAAAAAAAAGGGATTAACCTGTAGATATGTCCTCTCTGTGTTGAGGGGAGTCAACCGACAAGTATCTGTGAGAGATACAAGTAGCCTTGTGGCATTTGAGTGGGACAATATTAGTTGTTTGTGCCTTCTATTTTATTGGTGAATTCCGAGAATAATTTGGTGTATGTGATAGATGGGTGTAACAGATTCCATTCCCTAATGGTAAGTGAAAAAAAAGGAATATTTTAGTTTCATTACTAAATAAATATTCTGTTAGTTTATTGGCATGTTTTTGGTGTGTAGGTCTGTATATTGGAAAACGAAATGTATTTCAACACGTTTATCTGACCTGAAACCAAAAATTTTAAGTGGGCTTATTTTGCCCTTTCTAGCAGCGTTTCTAGATTGGATGCGTTTAAAAGGCTAGTTGGCGAGTCTGTGTGCCTGTACCTGTTGTGAATAAATTTTATCGCTTTACTGTTAATGCCAACACAGTAAAACTAATTAGATGACTGCAGTTTCTGTCTTGGTTATCTTGGTAAAGCACTAACAAAAATGGGGTAAAAAGGTAGTACTACTGCTCAGCAACACATGATTTTTACTATGTGCAAAAGCACTGCCTCTCAGAGGATTGAGCTAAAATTATAATAACCAAAACAGATGCAAGAATTTGATTAACTTTTTACCATACCATTTGAGCAAGAAGTTGTGCTGCTTCAAGTTGGTTATGTACAGCCATAACAGGAATTCCTAGTTCCATTATGGCAAACTGCTGCAAGTTGTTGTACTGTTCTTGAAGGGCTTCAGCCTGTTCAGCAATGACATAGGGCTTCTTAGCATCGTTCTGCAGAAAAAAATAAATGTTGGCAGGTCAAACGATAATAAAATTTCCATTTTTTTTCACAAGAACAAGATTTTGCAATCTCACTCCATGCTAAACTTCAGGCAATGTTCAAACCACTAGAGGAGTGCATTGCTGCAAATATTGTCGCTGGAAGCCAATTTCCCACTACCTGCAAGGCAATAGATAAAACGGCTGATTTAAAAAAAATGAGTCATTTATAGTAAATTAAAATGCACTTTTTTTTCCATATGGGCATGTTACCTCCTGTATGCTCCTAGTTTCAAGATGGAAATGCTAATGAAAACTGCAGCAAAACCCCATAGAAGTGAGCCATTTCTAAACTTCAGAAGTGTTGGTGTGAGATCAAGGCAAAGCAGTGTGCATATATTTGCACAACATTCACTATTGTGCCCAAGTGCACGGACAGCAACTATTCATTTAAAATAAAATGCCAAAACACAAGTGTAAAAAGAAATGAAATATATATAAGAATTGCTCTATGATGTGCAACTAGATTATATATGGGTCTGCTCATTATGGGAATGTCTATTTCTGTTTGCATATATGATAAATTTGAGATATACCCATTCTATACAAGTTAGAAGAGCCAGTTGGGACAATTGCAGAGAATACACTTGTAAAGCACAATCCTGCTATACCAAAACTCAAAATCTTTTGGCCTATTCGGATGACCGCTCTGGTCCTCTGGCTCCGAGTCGCCAGATGCAGAGGCGCCTCGCAATCCGAGTGCGAGAGGCAGCGTACCAACCGAATACATCAGCAATCTCAGAGTGCCCAGAGCAGCTAAAGCCCCTGAATATAGAAAAAGTAGCGACAATCTCCTCCATATCCTCTCCAGTGTCCAACCCTCCTCTCCCAAGTGTCCATACCTAATCTATATCCTTTCCCGAACAGCCACCGTCCGGGCGCCGGTTCGTGCCACTAACCCGGCTCGTGCCACTTTCATATCAAGAATGCTATGTCATGCTGATAACACGCGCCATGCTCGTCGCGGCCAGAGAGGCGGGAGAGGTGTATGCGTGGCGCGGCGGCTCGGTTAAAATAATAGCGGTACTTTCCTGAAAATATCCAGGGACTTTAGCTAAAGCGCGCCTTTAGCGTCACTGTGACAGGCTGTCAACAGATGGTGCCGAGTTCAGTGGATATCTGTGACATGTTTGACCTTTCCTATATTATTTCTTTCGCTCTCTCTGACATGTATGGATGTAACGAAAGCCTTGTGAGCTCAGCACATAAATCTGCCGATCGTACTCGTCCGAGCTGCTACCTTCAAGGCAAATCACGGGGCTGTCTGCAAGCTGCTGTAACGACAGCATTGACGTCCCCACCACCTTCGCTAGCCGCCTCGTTAATCGAGATGGTGCATTTATGGCTTCGTAAATGTGAATTCGCCCCACACACACTTAAAAATAACAACGCTCGTGCGTGCGAAGTACTAAAACGCTCGCGCTCCTCACCTAGTTCACCTGCTGGAAGCCACGTGATGGGCCGGCTTGTGTCGCGTGATCCGCACTACGGGTCAGATCGTGCCTCAAACCACGGAGGAAGGAAATTTTGAGCAAGCACCGCGCAGTAACGCTTGCGACCGACACTAGTTGGTGCAGGAGCAGCGCGCAACGAGAGAAAAGTTTTCCTTTATTTGTGTTTGTGAACACCATTATTTTTTTTCTTCTAATCAATATCTTGCCTTGCGAGTACTGTTGGTGTGGGACACGGGCAACGTTGCAGTGACGTTGACCACGTGAACGGGGTAGGCGGCTGTTTTGAAGGAGTTTTGTGCGCCCGGTTAGTTGTTAATGGTGCATTCAGACGACGGACCGAATCCCCATGTGGCGGGACGGACGGCATGTCACGTGACTTCACACCAGCAATTACCCTCGTCCGCGACTCGTCCGTGTGGCTCGCGGACGGATGATCGCAACCTGTTTCTCACATCGGGATTCTGGCCGATACTGAAAGTTGATACTTCAGCGGATTAGCTCGAGCTTTCTGGCAACCAGTACACTTTTTGTCTGCTCACGGCATGCCCTCTATGGCACGCGGACAGCTGCATGACCAGTCGGCATCACCTACGCTTGAGCATGGTTTACTTAGTTTTCAGGGGGCTTTGTTCTCAGGTGATTAAATACGCGGAAGTTATTTTTGGTGGTTCGAGAAATGTCGCCGCCGTCGTTTGACAAGTGAGATTCTGAGCCGCAATGGTGGTGAAATATTTTAACTTCTGCAACGGGCAACGTGCCGCTTGTAAAAAAGGACGGGAGACAGACGCGTTCAGAAGTACCGCATGTGGGTGAACAGTGTGGTTGTAAGAACATTTTCAGGGAATAGGCTGTCACATCAGCCATCGCCAAATGCCAGCAGGCGCTCACGAACAGTAGCCCTTTTGTTCTGTGCTTTCCCCGTGCTGGTAAAATATTTTAACTTGGGCCACCACCAACCTACCGCTTGTAAAAAAGGATGGGAGATGCGTTCACAAAAGCCACACGTGGGTGAACAATGTTACTGTAAGAACATTTTCAGAGAATAGGCAATCGTCAAAAACCAGCAGGCGCTCACTTACAAATAGTCCTCTTGTTCTGTGCTTTCGGTCTGATTGACAGGCCGATGGTACGTGCAATGGTGGTCAGGCTAAACTTCCATGCACCCAGAAGTGCTGAAAAGGTACTTTGACAATAAGCGAAGAACGTACTGCTTGGAAAGAAAAAAAGCGGACCACACAAAAAGCGGCCAACCCGCCAGCGATGTGTACATAGGCCGCTGGAAATTTTACAAGGCGCTGAAGTTCCTGGATGGTGCGAAAATTAAAACACACCGTTCAATAATGGGCCAGGCTCAGCAAAATATGGCTGAATCAGAAATGGTATGTTTGAGGTGACAACCCATTACCACTCTCTTCAAATTTTAGTTTAAGCTGCACCTTGTGCCCTTCAGAGAGGTTAGATGTGTTCAATATTCACTGGCTGTTTTCTGGACACATTTGGGGGCATGCAAATATCAGGTGTCACCAGAGCGCATTTGGTCCTACTAAGCGTTAATGTAATTACAGTAAAACAGTGTTGTTCATGTTTCGCTGTAGGCATGCTTTGCTTAATCATTGCTGTGACTGATGTGCATTATGTTGCACCCTCTTGTGTTCACTGAAGCTAATGAGACACCGGAAGCGGCCGCAGTGGATGAGGCTGCCACAGTTGATGAGATTGTTACAGTGGACGAAGAAAACTGCACTATGGAGTGTGTCCCTGTTGCCATCCTCCCCGCACCAAGTACGCCCAACACTGTCCAAGCTGCAAGCAAAGAAAGACCAAGAAAGAACCAATCTTTGCTGCCAGAAGAAATGTGGACAGAACGGCAAAAGGTTCTGGAAAAGATAGCTGTAAATATGCAGCCAATGCAACCTCCGCAGCCTGATGATGCGTGTGATCACTTCAGGAGGCTTGTCGCTGCAAGTATGCACAATCCCAAAGAAAAGGCATCTTTCATGCCAAGCAGAAATACTGAGACTTATGGATAGTAACATGGATTATTAATAACATGCTTGTACAAATAAATGTAAATTCTGGCATTTCTGTTTACTGCCGGCGTCTCCTGTAAATGTTCACATCCAAGTGGGCAGACTGCCGCTGCCACGGTACGGCACCCTTGTCGTTGAAGAAACAGCACAGCTTATCACGCAATGCCGCACCAACAGCACCAATTCTATAATGCGATGCTGCTTGCCCGGATAGCAGTGACACTGCTGCGCTTGTTTCGGCACATGAGTCTGGCGCACTGCTCATATCACTGCCAAGGAAATTGTGCAGCACACATGCCGCATTCACGATGGCAGTCACTCTCTCTGGCAATGCATTAAAAATTGAGTGAAAACACCAGAAGCGGTTCGCCAATATGCCGAAAGTATTTTCAATGACACGGCGGGCCTTGGACAAGCTAAAAAAAAAAGTAAATGTTAGACCATATCAAAAATTGCACGGCAGGGAAAATATTATGAGGATGCTAACAGCCTTACCAAGGATTGCAGAAATTAAGGTTTCACTGAATATTTGGAGTCCCAATTCATAATATAAGTTGCTGACATCATAAGTGCGTACATGCAATCAAGTCAGACGCGGGAGTTGCCATAAGCTAATTCCAGCACAAAACATGAACACTACGAGCTATGAAACTTTTGATATATTAGTAGTTTTCAAAATGCACTGTGACAGTTCAAGCTTTCACGTGATATGTGCTGTATCATGTGCAATATGTTTTTAGCTGTAATTAAATATCTTTTCTTCTGTTAGATTTATGCCCCCGTAAGGTTTCAATAAATTTTGTCCGACAGGGAATACGTCGTCCGCTACGAACACGGGTGGAGCGTGCACATCCGGTGAACTAGCCACCTTTACAAGTTCTGGCAGGCCTGCTTTTTTGTTGTCTATGTCTTTCTGCAGGAGTGTCGTTTTCCAGACACCTGCATCTTCTTCCGATCCTGGTGCACCAATATCAGTATACAAAAACTTGTAATTGGCATCAATGACGACGAAAAGAATAGCACTGAAACTTTTTTTTATAGTTCCGGTAAATTGTTCCCGATTTCGGCGGCTTCTTTATGAGCACGTGTTTTCCATCAATTGCTCCAATGCAGTCCGAAAAATTCTATTTGTGAGTGAAGCCGTCCATTACATTTTCCCACTCTTCTTCGGTGCAGGGTATTCTTATGAAGTCTCCTCCTAGCTCTTCGTAGATGGCACGGCACGTTTCATAAATATAATGTCATTGACGCTGGAATGGCCCAGTCTAAACTGACAGCTGAGTGAATGCTGGCTTTCTCCTGCAACGAAAAATAAACACAATGTTCTTAGTCAATTATTTGCGCCAGACGACAAAATGTACGAAGTGTACAAATACATATGATATCCAGTTGTTTTATAGCGACAGTTTAGTGGAATATTAGCTAGAAACATTTACGCTGAATGTTACAGCTACATGTACACAGTTGA